AGTCTGCATCGAATCTTGAATATCAGATTTTTATTACAATATTCGCTCGAAGTCTCCGGACAATTTTTGTGTAATGGATAAGTTTTAGAATTTCTATTAGGGCACTAGAATCATTACCCAAAGTCCAATAGTCTGTGTAGGTTCGATGCCAACAAGATTTAGCAGATCATTAGTTCTTAACATTTTATTAAGCTTTCTTGCCAGATTCTTCACAAAAAGCCGACTATTTTTCTGAATTCTTTTTTTGAAAAATCCATCTTCTAGACTTCTTTAAAAAGCCTGAATTTTTTAAAACATCTTGTCAGGAAACCATGAGAAATTTTATTAAAAAAATTTAGTATTCAAGATTCCATGCAGTTTTTTCTTTTCTTTCAAACGATGAAACCTCAGCTCTCTATCTTGTTCTTATCAAAAGTTGCTTGCAATCAAAGACTTCGGTTACTTTTGAACCCCACTGTATGCATTTAGTCTTTTTTGTTTGAAATAGCATGTCAAAACGTGCGGCACTAAAGAGTCCTTCTTTTTAATTAAGTTCTTTTCTCTTATATATACAATAACTTGAGTAAATTGAGGTGTATTTTTAGGGTTTCTAGACTTATGAAGATTGTAATTCCTTCTTTCCCTTCGAAAAATAAGTATTCAAAACATTAAGTCTTTGGTGCTCTGCATCCTCACATGCTCTTCCAACCAAAAAAAGAAAAATTGAATATTTTTGAAGAGTCTCGGTCGAGAAATTCAAGATGCTGAATCAGCTATTTTTGAACCCTGTTTGGTAAATGTCTGTCAAACGTTATGGTATAGAGCTTATAGAGCTGAAAGCTTTACCATAGCTTCTCCACTACAACCACAACATATTCTCAAAATGTCATGGAATTCGAATGTTCCTGGACGGAGCTTGATTTTTGAGGAGTGGANCAAATACCATGTTTATTTGACATTACTTTGTCCAATTTATGCGCAACTTTTGTTTCACAATCTTCAATAACTCAAAGTTATTCACCAACAGAATAATTTTTATTCTGATCTTCGTAGGTACAGTCATTTTATATGCACTATGCTGAATAAAACTTTTATGAGTATGCAATGAGATCGTAAAAGAAACATGTAATTTAATTGAATTGCAGAGGAGTTATTCAAACTTTATTTTGTAGCAAACTTTTAGAACACTGTAGTTCATAGATTGTACCGCACAAAAATTGACCACATAAAAAAATTAAAATTAATTTTATATTTACTTAAGTACATCATGAAATGTTACATCATTACCATTATTTAATTTTTCAATTTCATAACACGTATGTTTATAGAGTTTTTCTGGATCCACTTCTAATCTTCCCTAAGAAATACATTATACATATACAATGAGTACCAAAATTGATCAACAAGCAGAATGAACTTTTTTGGTGAGCTCATATTTCGACAGCTATATGAGCTGTAATGATTCGATTTTATCCATATTGTAGCCCATAACATCTAGTATATGCGCACAAAATCTCAAGTCAAACTGTTCTTCTCTTCTACGGTTATTGAATAGACAACCAAAGGGTGTGGTTCTTGAGTGTTCCAAAATTGATCGACAACTTGTCTCTATGATTATCTTCGGAATTATTTTAACTTAAAACTTTCTTTATATCAGATCATTGGAAAGAGGAAAATTCAATTAGAGGTAGTTTCTGTAACATACTGATGATATACTGAGAAAACTTGATAAAATGATAGATTTCATTTTAGTTTTCAAATGAATTTTTGATTTCCAAGGTACTATCAGAAAGAGGGTACACAAATATGTCAGAAACAGTGCTTTATTAATTATTTTTTATCTTAGGAGATGAAGGTAGTAACTTCTTGTAGACATGTCAACTATACTGATTTTGTACAAAATTTATTGTATTTTCTCATTTTCATTGGTAACATGATGTCAAAACTGTTCTATGACGCTGCCAGTGGCGTAACGAGGATTTTTAGATCAGTGGGCAAACTTCTCTTGTGCTCGAAAAAAATGATGGGCAAAATGGGCAAGATTTTCATTGATGAGCCAAAAATTTTTTTGACTCAACCAAGTACTGATAATGTAAAAAAACACAGAAAAATGAAATGAGGTTCTTTTAATCAAATATGCATCAAATTCAGATCGTTAGTCTCCCCTCCCCCCCCCCCCCACTCCGGTCCTCAAAACAAGTCAATTTTAGTCAAAAATATGAAAACTGAGATAATTGTGTGAGAACATAGCCCAAATTCTGCCCTTTCAAAATAGATATAGCCTTTTATTTAGTGCATCGTTTTTTTAGCGAAAAATTTTTAATGTTTTGCGTCACCGTTTGCTTGAAAAATAGGCTGGTTTTTGATAAGATTGAAAAATCTGTTTCATTTTTCTCAGTTCGTGATTTGTCGAACGCTCAATCCAAATTTCTCTGCCCAAGCTAATTATACAGGATGGTCCAAAAGTAACCGAACAGCGTTTGATTGCGACTAACGTTTGATAAGAACAAGATAGAGAGCTGCGGCTTTCATCATTTAAAAGAGGAAAAAGTCTGTATCAAATCTTGAATATCAGATTTTTATAACAATATTCGCTCGAAGTTTCCAGCCAATTTTTGTGTAACGTAAAAGTTTTAGAATTTTTATTAGTGCACCAGAATCGTTAACTAAGGTTTAATAGTCTGTGCAGATTCGATGTCAAAAAGATTTAGCAGATCATTAGTTCTTAACATTTTATTAAGCTTTCTTGGCACATTCTTGGCGAAAAGCCGACTATTTTTGTGAAATTTTTTGAAAAATTCATCTTCTAGACTTCTTTAAAAAGCCTGAATTTTTTAAAACAGCTTGTCAGGAAACCACGAGAAATTTTCTTATAAAAATCTGGCATTCCAGATTCGATGCAGTTTTTTCTTTTCTTTCAAACGATGAAAATCGCCGCTCTCTATCTTGTTCTTATCAAAAGTTATTTGCAATCAAAGACTAATCGGTTACTTTTGGACCATCCTGTGTGCATCTAATTAGTTTTGTTTGAAATAGCATGTCAAAACGTGCGGCACCAAAAAGTCCTTCTTGTTAATTAAGTTTTTTCTCTTTATACGATCACTTGAATAAATTGAGCCCTATGTTTAGAGAGTTTTTAGATTTATCAAACTTGTAATTCCTTCTCTCCTTTCGAAAAATAAGAATTCAAAAATATGAGTCTTTGGTTCACTGCATCCTGATATGCTCTTTCAACCAAAAACACAAAAAATTAAATATCTTTGAAGACTCTCAGTCGAGAAGTTTGAGATGCTGAATCAGCTACTTTCGAACATTGTTTGGTAAATGTCTGTCAAATATCATGGTATAGAGCTGAAAATTTTACCATAGCTTCTCCACTACAACCAAAACATATTCTCAAAATGTAATGGAATTCGAATGTTCCTACACTGAGACTGATTTCTGAAGGATCGAGAGACCTTCAGCCTGAGTCACACATGTCTAGTCTATCTTTAATGTCTCTATTTATAAGATTTATATTTCAAATTCAAACACCTAAATCAAGACAACGATGATATATTTGTGCATATAATTTCTATATTTCATCTGGATTTATATCGAGATCGCTATAGATGTATACAGTACAAGAGGAAAACAGCTAAAATCAGATATTTTTAATTTTTTTCTGATCTAAAATTAAAAAAACCCAGCTGTTTCCCCTTGTTGCAACAACAAAGAAATAAACAATTCTGAAAAAGTAAAATTTCAATGGGCAAAGTGTTACTTTTAAAAATTACAATGGGCAAATCTTAAAATGAAATGCGCAAGTGCCCAGTTGCTGTCCCCCTGGTTACGGTACTGGACGCTGCAGATTTGTAGAGAATTCTTTTCTCTACAAGGTGGTTGTCTTTCAAATCAAGAGCATGTTTGTTTTCATGAGCACTATACGGATGTTTATGTGGCAATGTGAGAAACGAAAGTTAGCGAATGTTAAGAGAAATGAACTAGAGTCGATTTTCCCAAGACATCATCAAAAACACTTCACGTCATGCCTTATTCGAAACAGGATGATATTCTATGCGAAAAAATGTATAATGTTCAATCAATGAGCCGTTTCTTCGAAAAGTTTGGCTATAGTTTGTACCTGCTGCGATGCACAACTTTTGTTTCTCCGCTTGCCATCTAAACGTCCGTATAGTGCTCACGAAAACAAATATGCTCTTAATTTGAAAGACAATCACCTTGTAGAGAAAAGAATTCTCTATAAATNCAAGGCAAAATTAAGTAAAAATAAGCTGAGAAGAACCACAGACTACATTTTGACGGTAAACTTTTTTTGACGAAATATATGTTATTCGATGCTGTTTTGTATGCTGATTCCGAATATCGCACCGAACCGATCGAAAAGTAAGGCGTTTGCCGGAAAAATTTCGAAGTACATCACCAATTTTTAGTGATTTGGTCATTCAGATGGGAAAAGTGAATTTTCCCAACAATCCTAATGAGTTTAGTTAATAGCATACGTAACTTTTTTTTCTTATCAATCTGACGATTCGAATGCTATATAAAAAATTATTTTAGTTCTTATGGAAAAAATGGAGATAGGTTTACAAAATGAGACTGTCGGTCAAATCGAAGGTGGGTCTTGCTAAACTAGCCAAATCGAACCACATTGATCAAATGTCATCAAACTTACCTAACTACCACAGTTTTATATGCTCGATTTACATAAAATAGTTTTATTGAAAAAAATCTAATGTAAGATAGAGTAATCTTCAAATTTCTAGTGAAAAGACTATTTTTTGCTTTTTCTAAAAGTTTTTGTATCTCGTAAATGTGTTGACTCAGGTGAGGTCTATGATGTTAAAACTTTTAATTATATTCTTAAACAGCGTGAACTACTCTATCGATTAATGTACAACTTAACTAAATTTATTTTCTGATCGACTTTTGCGTTACGCCCACCGTAGAAATGTTATTAAGCTTAAATTATTCAGGAATATGATTAAGCAAAAAGCATATGTTAGCTTCATATTTCAGATTCAACAAGGTCCTGTTAATCGACTTTCTTGAATAGATAACTTAGCTTCAAATAAACTTAGAGTTGATCTTGGAGATCTTCTTTGAAATTGACATAACGCATTATTAACTCGTTCTTGTGCATTACAATTTGATATATCTAAATCATCTAGTTGAATATTGAACATGTCAAATAAATCTTGAAAAAGAACTATATTTGAATCAACAGGTACTACTGTTGGAGATGAAAAAGAGTGAATATCAATGTGAATCGGTGACATAAACATATTTGCTATTTGTAATTTCATCTGTTGAACAATTCTCGTTAATGAATCTTGATGATCTTCACTTTCATAATGGTTTCTTATATTGTAAAAATGAATCTGTAGAAAATAATTTAAAAAATGAATTATTCTTAACATAATTAATATATATACTTGTTCATTACAACCAAAATCTTTTAATAGACAATCAATAACGTTATTTTTGCATCGCGATAATTTGTGTTCATTAAGGTTACTAACTGTACCAAACTGTGTATGACAATATTCACATATTGGGTTTAGATGAGATTGATCTAGATGTGTCTTTTGTAAAAAAAAAAACATCTTACATTCTGAAACAATACAAATATTCGATTTGTTACTGGATAATTTCTTAGAATGCCAACCCAATCGCCAAAGGAACATTCAATAGATAGTGTTTGCATGTCCTTTTTGAAACCTTGATCAAACATCACCTGAAACAGTTAACATTAATATTCAACTGAAATAAAATAAATATTGTCACTTTGTTTTGTAATGTTGCTTCTGAACATTGATAACATTTAATTAAATTTCTTAAAACAATAATAAATATAATTCAATCAAATAAATAATTATTCTTACCCATGTTGCCATCGGGAACATGTTTGACATTGTCGATGACCACAACAAGTTAATTGAATTGGGTCTTTCAATATCAATGAACAGACAGGACAAATAAACTTTGAATCGAGAATAAATTTATTTTTAGCATCAAAACCAAACATGATTGTGATCAGTCTGAAAGACAACAAAAACTTAAACATCATCAATAAAAGAGTAAAAATACTCGAAATATGTACAATGTATCATAATAACGAATGGCTAATAATATAAGTACTATTCTATAATAATTTGAATGTTTTATACTAGGTGCTGTTCCAAAAATAACCAATACACCCACCCATATTACTTGACGCATGTTTATACAATTTATCACATAGTGTGACAAAATTAGAAGGCTTTTTACATTAATATAGATCATTTGTAATATATATTTTTCACAAGAGAATTTTGTCTTTCAACTTCTAATAATTTAAGTAACTGATTTAAATTCAAATCACAATATTCTTATTGATGAATACTCATAAATGATAATGAAAGTATTTACCTAAGGAACTACGATTCAAGCAAGAATAAAACTTTATCTTTTATAGATGAAGATGATGAAACAACAAACGAGTTTTGTAAATAAGTGTATGTATATACAGAGGTTGTATTTTTCATGAGTCACGAATTGTAGTCATCATGGATGTTCGCGACTGGGATGATGTCAAATATGATGCTTAAAAAAACAAATAATATCTCTCTCCATTTGACAGAACGAATTGAGTCATTTTAGAGTAAAATAAGATGATCAAAGAAAAACAGTATGTTCTATACTAAACATTTACATAAAGAGGCATAAAAACATGCTATAGCTTTTTTGTTTAATAATCTTATGTTCATTTAAATCTACTAGAATAAATCCGAATTGAATTTGAAAAGATGTTATTGCTTCTATGTTTTAGAACTTCTAGTTATCGGAAACAGAATGCTAAAATTATTTAAAATATTTTTGAGGATTTTAGTGTTATTTCTATTTTCTATACTATTATATAAAATGTATATTGTATTTGTTATCCATATATTGTACATTTAATTTAGAGAAGAAAGAAACAATAATTGATTCACATCAGTATTAAACAAATAATTAATCTTATTAATAAATTATTTCTGAGATACAGCTTAATTATTTAATATGATATGAATTATCAATTAATGTTTTCGACCTATTTCTACAATTTGAGACATTCGAGACAATGGATTCCACTATAGGATGATCCAAAAGTTCCTTTATTGTGGAAATGTTTCAATATCTCGGTCATACTTTGACTAAATGTGCTGGTTCTTATACCAATGATAAAGGAATGTTTAAAGATCAAACCCGTATGAGAAAGATTGACATAAACAGTTTTGAAGCTTTACAACAAGCATAAATAAAGAAATGGAACCTTTCATAAATTATAAAAGACCAATATTGATATTGCCACGAATGTATTAAATTCGTATAGAAATCATTGAATATTAACAATGTGATACATAACATGGTTGATATTCTTTTGAAACGACCCTTGTGTACTCAATTATCAATTGACTTGACAATAAGTATTCACGCAAACTATAATACGTAAGCTGACTAATCGACTTGACTCATGTTAACCTGGAATTTTCCAACGAGGAAATAGATATGTCATCATAACGGATGATTCATCGCGAATTAAATATGGAAAAAATATTTCAGTAATGTATCATTATAATGATGTCAGATTAAAATTAGTCCATATGATTACAGTCCAAGAAGCAAAAAAGAAAAATTATATTATTGAAACAATATATTACTACAGTCAAAAAAGAAAAGGTATGCTGATTAATATGACGTAGGTGATATTTTTTCTGATGTTTATTTTCATTTCAACTTCAGGCATCTAATAGATGGAAACTATTTAATGTATTATTCAAGGAATATAAGAAAGAGTGAAAAATATATCAATCAGAAAATATGTGCATTAAAAACGATGTTAGAATAAATGAAATATTGTCAAAAGTAAATTTGCAATTAATCGTATATTTTTTTTATCATAATAATTTTGTAACTTTTTGCCGTTGACGAATTCGATTACCTTACTGAAACAAAAAAAACAAACTGTTATCGCAAAAGTAAGTAAAACCTGTAGTTCTAATTTGACTCTTTCAAAAACAATGAAAAAAAAAACAAGATATCTAGTCATTAGAATAGCGACCGTAAAGACTTCGACTTTTGTTCAAGAAGTTTTGTCATAGTTGTTACAGAGAAAACTTATTATACAAAAAAATTGATGACTTCAACATTGAGAATGTCAACTGATAATTAGCATTGTTTATTTTTGATTTTCAAAATCATTGATTCATTACAAAAGTATTATTGATAGAATGACAAGAGATTTCAATTTTTATTTTTTGTTTAAAATTACCGTGAAATATTCAAAGAGAAAAAATGAGATTCCTGTGTTCAAGCTACAACAAGAGCGCAACTACACTATGAGAGTCTCACTTGTTTCGCTCAGTAATTTCTAACATACTTTGAGTTATACATGATTCATTTAGAAAGAATCAGGTTTATATGCCTTATTTAACAATGTATCTCTTTCTCCAACCTTATTCATCGATATGAAAATTTGCAGAACTTGCTGTAATTCTCATAAATTCTAGATCGATACAAAATAATCTCTATCCCACAGTCAATAGAGATCTTTTAGAATTTTCTGTGTGAGAAATTCGAAAATGATTCATAGCAAATCTGACTGTTGTTTTTTGGACAAAAGTTGCCAAAAACGCATGTAGCTTTTTAATATTAATTTTCTTTAAGTTCATTACTTACCTTCTTTATTATTCCGATAGCACAAGATAGATGTTGCTTCTGCTGATTGAATAATGTGATCAAAGAAAAAAGTTAAGACTTATTATGCCATTTCATCTTCATCCTGCATGACACGATCTGTGAATTAGACCATGCCATTATTATATTAGCGAGATTGAACACTGTTATTTATCAAGTTGTTTTATCAATTGCTGTTCTGGAACTGTCTTTCGAAGTAATGAGTTCAACGTGATATATTTCAAACTATTGAAAACAGGTATCTTCTGTCGAATTGTATTGCGCTATAAAAGCAAAAATATAAATCGAATGTAAAACTAATAAAGTATGATTATTATTATTATTTTAAGAAAAGTATTTAGTTTCTTATTAAAACACTTTATTGGAAAAATCAATAAGAATGATACATGCTCAGGATTGCATATATGAAAACAAGTACAAATATAATATTACACAGATGTCATACATAACTTTTTTAGAAAGTAAAATGAAAATTATTCTCGAATAAGTTTTGAAATTCGTTACTTTTGTTACTATTTATAATCTAATTTTCACTAGAAAACTACTGTTTGCATTTTTTCAATCGAAAATGAATCCTTAACTGCTGCATTGTTGGTATCTTACAAGCGGCCTATATAATTATACAATATGACATTTTCTAAATCAGTATCTATCTATTCGATGAGAAATTTAATTACAAATACTTCTAAGGAAAAAGCTAAGTATCAAAGACAAGCAAATCGTATTAGAAAATATTCTTGATCCAACTATTCATATGTCAAAATACAAGCTTCTTATTGACATTTTGTTTAGGTTGATTTACATGAACTAAAAATGTTTAATTAAGGATACGTAATTCTTCAATCTAAAGTTAATCTATGAAAAAAAAACAACTGTATAAATTGAAACTATTTAAATGAAAAGTGATGGGATTAAATCAGCCATTGAAAAATCAAATATTTATGTATTTTCTTTAATTTTATTCTACTTGTGAAACGAAATTATGATAGAATTATAAAAAGAATTTTTCATTGAAAATACTACCTGATCATGCTTAAGTAACGAAAGGATATTATTAGTATAACCCATTTAAGTAGTTGAAGAGGTGAAAGTCTGTTGAATCCGTATTTTTGTCTGCTATTATATTATAGCCTGTTGTCTATCAATTGGAAATCCTGAACTAAGGCCTAATGCAAATGATAATCACAGTTTCGGCATATCTTTAGAATCCACTATAATTTGAATGAATCTTATATTGTAAAACATAAGAATTTTCTTCTTAGTGAATTACTTTCAACTAGGCGAACTTTGGTATGCCAATTGCAACATTCATTTCAGATCATGTTTCCTATCAGGTTAAAAAAAGTAAAAATGTCGCTTTTCGGATGTTTGATCGTACGAACGAAATGTCACTTTATAATGAAATGAAAACTTGGGTATCACATATATATTCACCTGACAGGATACAAAAAATAGTGACATAATGAGTACGACAAGCATCTTCATCATCATATAAATATAAACGAGCACGCATATTATATCCAATAGGTGATGAATAAATCAATGTCTCTGGTTCGGATTGTGCATCAGCAAGAATAAAGACGTATGT